AGGGGGGGCGCGGGTGCCGCGGCCAACGCTGCCAGGGGAAGAGGACGATGAAAGGTTCGGGTTCAGGTTCAGGTTCATCTCCCCCAGAGGCCGTGAGCTGCCGGAGTTGTACATTCCCGTGCAGGTGAGCATGCCCAGCCACCAAGCAAACGTAACATGTACCGCAACAGCAGCCACAGCAAGCTAATACTGCACAAGTGTGTGAAGTGGATTAAAAAAATACATATTTTTCACAAATGCCACACAGAACCCTGTTGTACTGTATAATCATCTCCAGGATTTTCTTCCACTTGTCAATGTAAAAGCTTAGTGCCGAAACAAGTCAAAACGTGACTCTGCGATCAGTGTATTTATTCACTGACCGTCTGACACCCGCCACTGCAAAGAGGGAGCCGTGTTGTGTCTTCTAGAGGAAAGTGCGGATGAGCAGGAGCGACTTTCCCTGCTGCAGGCTCTCCCAACCACGGCCCTTCCGCACAGGAAACGCCAGCAGCGTGGGGATGGTCCCGCCTGTCTCCGTGTAAACAGCTGTCCGTCTGTCCCAGCCAGTTGGCCGGCTGAGTTTCATGCAGAGAGATCATTATTTTAGGTCGCTACCTCCAGAAATTCTTCTAAACTCTTCTTGATGTGTGGTGGCTGAGATGCAGCGTGAGTTAACAGGCTTTGACCCATCTGTGCAAAAAGTGCTTTTGATAATTTCGCTGTGGCTGTCCGGATATTTCCTCCGGCTCCCGGCAAAGAGCCGCTGCTCGTCATATTTCCCAGGAGGTGCCAAAGGACAGCTAGAACTTTTTGCTCCACAGCGTAAGGCTTCCGTGGGTATAACTCCGTAACGAGATCTGCAAGAAAGACAACAGGTCATCAAGCCGCGCTTGGAGACTTTTTAAAATACAATTCAGAAATGATTCCCTGCTTTCAGAGGTGTTTAAAAGCACTTAATGGCAAATCATCTCAAAGCAACCAGGGCCACGCACAAGAGCTCATCTGTTGTTGCAAAAGCATCAGCGCTCCAATAAAAGATACCAGCTTTCCCTACAAACACCCCTTGTCCTCTCTCAGGAGTTTACACAGCAGCACTGGTACTGCTGATAAGTACAATTTTCCATTAAATGAAAACAAGTAAAAGAAACAAAGGGGGGGGTTTCAGGGTTTTTTAGTTAGAATTATTATAAGGACCTTTACTTCTCACAGTGCACCGTGTAACATTTGATACTTTACGATTTCCCCTCTATCTTAGAAATATGCAGTAGGTATTTGAGTTTAAGTAACAAAGTAGCCTTGTACTATAAATACATGTAAGATGAAGCATTTTCCCTACTTAGACAATTACATCATGGATTAAGTATTTCATTTGCAAATGTTTGCCTTTTTGCTAGAATAGACTCTTCTGATGTTTAGTACAAACTACTCCAGAAAATCCCAGCGAGAGATGAACTGTTTAAAGTTGGTGACTAGCACATTCAGAAAGCACAAACTGAGGAATATGGCAAGAACAGACTGCCCATTATGTTAGTTAGTTCAATTTCATAGCTACTACACACAGAACGACTCCGAAAGTAAGCCAAATAACCTCTGTTTGCTTCAAGCCTATTTCCCACAAAGACATCCCTTGTTCACTTAAAACATCAAAGGAAAATTCAGCACTTCTGCTAGTATTAACCCTCAATATTAAAATACGTATGTACGTTCTAATTAAAGTTTGTCTTCCATTTTTAACCAAATTTGTCTCCAAACTTCTGACACCACTTTAGGAAGACAACCATTATGAAGTCTGCCGCCTTTGTGGGGACTGCAGGTCCGCTGGCCAGCTTGTCTCCTCTACGACTGAACACCAATACGTGTTTAAGGCAAGAGCCTTAAAACGAGAACAAGACCAGCTGCAAAAAGTAAACAGGTACAGAAGTAAAATTCAGGAGTTTGTCGGAGCCAGCCTTAGAGAACGGCAGATTTTCTGTGCTGGGAAACCTCAGAAAAGCCATCACTCCTTCCTGTCGTTCCTTCCTGGCGAGAGCATGAGGGAGGGAGCACTGTGAGAGGCGGTGTGACCTGGAGCAAGCGAAGCAGGCAAGCCTCCGCCGCCAGCCAGCCCTGCGCAGGAGCAGGGGCCCGAGCCTCAGTACGGTTCCTCCTGCTCAGTTACTGACAGCCCGAAACTCATTACAAACCGAAACTCATTACAAACCAAAACTCATTACAAACCAAAACTCATTCTCTCTGATTCCGTATTAAAATTATTATAAGCTTAAGGTATTTCTACATCTTCCACCTGACGATGTAATAATAATCTTTTGTTTTGTCAGCAATACGCATTAGAAAGGGGTGAGATTTGACAACTGCCGCATCATTACTGCCCACAATCTACTGTGACAGAAGGGAAGATATATAGCCACCACCATCCTACTGTGAATTTGCCTAATGAGGATGGTACACCAACAAACAAACGTGCAATGTAAATCATGACTTTACCGGCAAGCTTTTCTGTCATGTCTTGTTTTGCTTTTCCATTCAGAAACTGGGCTTTTGTGCAGAACGGCTGGAGGAGCAAATAGTTGTCTAAATGCAAAGAAGAAAGCACGTTAAAATTCTTAAACAGAAAATTAAACAGCCTGGAAATAAACACAATAATGGAAAAATCTAAGTAAGAACCTTACTTATGATATATTAATTGCAAAAAAACACAGTGATGTATTGAAGGGCATAAAAGCATAAAAAGATACTCTTAACAAGCCCTACCTCCTACCATCTGGTAGGACACAGCAGATTAATTTACTGAAAATACTAAGATTCTGCTCCGACAGTAAAATAGTTGAGGAAGGAAAACAGTTGTGGCATATGCAAATCAGCAAGAATCTAGTTTTTTGACCTGTTTAAGAGGGTCAGCAGTGTGACAAGCTTCTGGATAATGAAACACAGAATCACAGGGAATGGCTGAGGTGGGAAGGGACCTCTGGAGATCGGATCAGGGCCACTGCAGCCGGTTGCGCAGGACCACGTCCAGATGGCTTCTGAGGATCTCCAAGGACGGAGACTCCACAGCCGCCCCGGGCAACCTGTGCCAGCACTCAGTCACCCTCACAGCAAAACATGCCTGCCATGGAAATGCATGCCATAACAAAACCACCTACGCACTTACGGCGAGTCCAGCTAGCTGCATTTCTTTATTGGACTGGCAAAATATTAAGATGACTTGTGTGGTTTAAAAAGAGTGAGAATAAACCAATGATACGTTACACAATGTAATGACTGGATGGAAACTGTTGGAAAGAGTAACTCTTTAAATTCAGAATTTTATTAATACAATTAAAACTCTTTAAGAGAGAGTAAATTACTTACCTAAATGTTGACATAGAGCCTGAATAACGTTTGTGGCAGCTGCATAAATCCCTGGATTTTTGGAGTTCAGGTTGTTGTCTACCATGGCAGGAATTAACATGTTGATCACAGGTGATAAATTGTCTTTCAGCAGTGGAATCATCTTGTGCATTGTCTCCAAAGCAACCTGATTTACTTTACTGTTTGAGTCATGTAAACGAGACTTGAAAGCATCAAAGATCTGAAAAAGTAGGCAAACAGCGTTCACTGGAATTAACAATTATTGTTTGAGGTGGATAGTACATTTCCTGCTTCATTGTTACACTTTAATTGTCCGTCTTAGCAAAAGATGGCTCTGATACGCAAATACCCGAGATACTTTTTTTAGCAAAAAAAAAAAAAAAAAGACATTTGAGATTTTTATACTGTGTATTATTCAACTGTATCTCACCTCATCTGAATTCGAATCCTTCCTATACAGCGTAGTGGAGGTAAACTAGCCATCTGTAACTTTCAGTATGACTAATATTTTCTGCAAGCAAGTATTTTTAGCAAGACATAGCTCTATTTAGCAAAAAGATTGTTTTAAAGATTTCAGAAACATTCACAGTTAAGATATTGCAAAGTTCCACGGAAGTATTTCATAGTTCCACAGCAAAGACACTGCACTGTTAGAAGACAATCTTGGTTTTCCTTCCATTATATCTATCTTTAGTTTGCAACCATCGGACCTCATCATCGTATTTTTCTCCTGAAGAACCTCCTTTCCTATTAGAAAGGGTACTTGCCTTAAGCTTTACCGTAATAAAGACCCTTCCTCACCTTCTAGACAAATAAAGCAGGCAGAACCTGCAGCTGTGTTTCACAGACAGTTTTTCAGATCTCGATTAATCCTTGCTGCTTTTTGTAACCTGTTCCAGTATTTTGACATTTACTCAGCAGTGGCATGGGAAACTGCACGCAGTATTCCAGACACAGTTCACAGAGTGCTATCTCTAAGTGAAAACTTTCATCTGTGTCCTCTTATTTACTTCCTTTACTACCTTTGTAGCTTACACGTCTCCCCCTTGAGCACACTGCCCCATACCAGCTACTGTGAAGAAAATTAACTCTATCCCAGCCCAAACCAGCACACTCTCCTATTCCTCAATGTTTTCCTGTTAATCAGACATTCTTATTGAAAGAGAGAGATAAGATTTTTATCAGAAAACTTTCTGACGCAACTTTAAAGACCTCAGAAATAAATTTTTTTCATACAGGTACCTTCACGATGTTTGCAACAACAAAGCCTTGATTGTTCTCTGTATCTGATAACAGCTGCTTAATGCCATTTATTCGATCACGGAAGTCTTTTGCATTCAATAAACCTATAATGTCTTTAACATATTCTTCACTTTCCAGTGAATTACGAGGAGCTGCTTTTCTTGTCACTTCACGGGCTTCTGTACTCTCTCTGTTGGAAAGGAAAAAGTTATTCAGTGAACACATAAGCAAGCTGAAACGGGAGTCTTTAATCTCAGACGTTCTCTTTTCATGGAAGTGCAAATATCAGAAGTAAACAGAAACTCTTGCGATGAAAGACTTTCATTTAAACATGGTGATTTAAAAAAAAAATATAATCACCTAATAGCAATTGTTGTTCCTAAAGTCTCAGTGCACATTGCACTCTAAATGCATATATACCCATCACACGAGATAAGCCTCAGCTCCGCAGGAGCCCTGTGCTGTTTCAAGTTTCTGTACGAGAGCAGCTGGGTTTGTGACCAGTAACAGTTGGGAGCTTCCCTCACATCAACGGGTCCAAAAAAAAAAAAAGTTACTGTAGTTTAATTCTTTATTCTCGAAGTACTTTCAACACTGATCCCAATCTAGGTGGCACCTAAGAAACATGCCATGCCAAGCTGGAAATTCTTCATAGAATATTTTGAAACAAATTTTGTGTAGCATCTAATCTTGCTAGACAGTCACAGAAAGAATTATAAAATCTGTGGAATCGCTTTTCTGTCCAGATAAGTATCCTGCATTTACGGACCAGTCCAGACAGAGTCGCTAGCTCATTCCTAATTCGGGAACAGAAGTCTTTGATGGAGAATGGAGTAAGCATCTTTCTTGCATTTTCAAATTCAAACCTATCAGCTCTGTGAGAACAAAAGGCGGCACCAAAATCTCCTGCCCTGCTAGCGTATCACAGGCCACTAAAAGTGCTTGGAGGAAAGAGAAGAGAGTCTTTGGCATAATGCAGCAAGTAGCACCTCTCCTAAGGAAGCGGACATGTAGTTTTACATGCCAAAGCAAAATTTACCATCAAATGTGGAATTATTATTTTGAACAGTAGAGAGTGTGTTAAGGAAATCTGCTCCTGAACAGACACACTTTCTTCAACCCGGAGGCAGTCACAGCACCTAAGAACGCTGTATTCCTGGATGCAGTTTTGTGGCTTGGTTTAAATTTGGGGGGGGTTCTTTTTCCATTCAATATAAGACCTATTAGAAGACAAAACAGAAAACTGAAACTGGACAGAGTATCATCTAAAACCTTCAGCATCCCCAGTTAGGATCTAATTAAATACTTAGCACCCAGGTAACTGCACAAATAGATAATTTGTACTGCAGCTACCATTAGGCATGATTTTTCTACAGAGTCTGAACGGCAGTATCTTGAACTGATGGTGACATGGATCTCCTGTGAATTCCAAGTGTTTTGTGCACTGTGTGTATTTTCATAGGCTGTCAACTGACAAATTAACTTCAAAATGCACAAAGCCATTTTAAGATTGCCAATAAAAGAGTTTATCTGGGACGTGTCAAGTTTTTCCTTCAGGTATGTTTAATTTTCACAACCCTGTTGTGAATGTTTCTAGACTCTTCTTGTGGTGAGGCTATTATCCTAGAGGTCAAGTTACTAACAGGGTGAAACACTGAAGATCATTACCTGTCAGTGATGTTGAGAGCATCTCTGGAAGTAGATGATGATCTCGAATGTCCAACACTACTAGTGTGGGAACGTCGTCCTTTTGCTGAGGGTGTATCTAATGGCATCTCCCCCAAACCCTGCACAAAGGTGCAACTGTTAACGAACGTGGCTGGTACAGTTCTGCACTGCTGGAGACCCTGTAAAAGCAGGTCTGACAGCCACGCAAAGTAGCAACGTACATTTTATCCAGCGTATCTGCACGGAGCGAAGGCATCCGCGGGCAGCTAACAAGCAGTACCTCGCCATGCCGCAGCCACTTGATCACTTGCCTTGCTCTGGATGCACTCCCCCCGTTCCCTGTAGGTTCAGTGCCTACACCTAACGGCCACGAGTACGAATTTACGTTTCTCAGCTGTTAAACAAGAGCTTTTCCACGTACCTTTTCACGTAGATTGCTAACAGTTTCCTTAAGGTAAGGCAAATCCTTGGTCGGCACATACTTTTCAAGCGTTTTATCAAAATCAGGATGAGGCATCATACTGAAGAGCATCTTCCGACCGTAATACCTGCAGGGCAACAGACCATGACATACACATCCATAAACGCGGATTTGCTTTGTAACTCTGTGGGTAATTAAAGGTGCGTAATTCCAAAACATAAAAGTGCAGGAAGATTCCTATCTATATGTGTAACCAGACACCCTTTTCATCCTCCCACAAAGAAACCATGCTCAAGAATCGCTATTTAATCAACAACCGAGCAAATTATCAAGAACAGCCTTCTGTTTCAGCCGTCTTTAAATAGGGTGGTCCAGCCCTGTCAGTCAGACAGCGTGGATCCCAGTGCCAGCATTCCCTCCGTGGCCGGTATCTCCTCTGTGCCCAGCACAGCACGTCCTTTGAGCCCCTCTCCTTCCTGCAGCCAGGGTGGGCACAGTGCAGCAGGCATTCAGGAAATTCCTTTCACATAAGCCATCTTAACAGTCCTGGCAGTGATGGGTTAATGCTTGGACTCGGTGATCTTAAGGGTCTTTTCCAACTTAAATCATAGAATCGTTTAGGTTGGAAAAGCCCTTTAAGATCACCCAGTCCAACCATTAACCTACACTGCCAAGTCCACACTAACCCAATCAAGGGTAGACCAGACTGAACCATGTCCCCAAGTGCCACCTCTGCCCGTTTTTTGAACACTTCCAGGGATGGGGACTCCCCCACCTCTCTGGGCAGCCTGTTCCAATGTTTGACTACCCTTTCTGTGAAGAAATTTTTCCTAATTTCCAACCTAAACCTCCCCTGGCGCAGCTTGAGCCCATTTCCTCTCATCCTATCGCTAACTACATGGGAGAAGAGACCAACCCCCACCTCGCTACAGCCTCCTGTCAGGCAGGTTGTATGATTCTATGATTCTACGCTCTGTCGCTGCAGAGCAACGCACACTGAGCTATGCGGAGGTTTCAGCCACCTGGAATGTGCTCATCTTAACTATTAGCCTTACTAACCTTGTTTGTTGTGAACTATCCTGGGCAAACCTGGCTATTGCAGGGAAAAGCCGATCAGTGGCAACTTTGGTTCCAGACAGAATCCGCTCCGGTCCCATACGTTCTACAATGTCCGACAGGTGCTGGGCCGTGCATCTTCTCACCGCTGAATGCAGGTGGCTAAAGAAAACACAGCTGCTTAGTAAAAACTCATCACAGGAGCTGAACAGCAGTAGTTATGTGCTCTACCAAATACGGAATACAAGTTTTCTTTTTTCATCTTTAGTATAATCTACAACTAGCATACTGCTGATACACAGGTACTTATTCTGGCTGTACAGAAAAGGCGTTGTGGAGCAAAGACAAGTAACTTTATTTAAAAGGATAATGCATTGGATTAAATTTCATTTTATTCACTTAGACTCCCAAACTACAAGAACACAGAATGAAAAATTATATCCTTTTTCTTTAAAGTCAGTTGCAACCTCTAACTGTGGCTTTTGAATTAATAAAACTAGTAATTTTCTTCTTTTTAGAATTTCTAGTTTTCCTTCAAATAGTTGTAGAATATTTTAGAAAGCACACTACTACATGTTCTTTCTATCAACTTTATGAAAAACTAGTCCCTATGCTCAGAAACACATCTTGTGTATTTTATATCAATTTAAAATTAAATAAAGCAGTATTGTATTGACTTCTAAAAATCTTGCGGAAGTCTATTTTTGACAAAAGGGGGGCCATTAAACACCTGTGCTAATGAAAATGTGAAAAAAGCTGGAATCAATTTTCAAACCCGTGCAGCAAACTAACCTTTTATATACATTCTGCTGTACCTGCTGATCCCACATGTTTTCAGAGCACACAATTCTGCAAATTCAAACTTTTCCAATTTTATTTTTATCTTTGGATTAAAAACCCTATTTTGAGGACAGTTTCACTGCACAGCGAGACATTCGTATGGCATCGTTCATAGGGAAGAACAGGTTTAAAGGAGAGAGCTAAGGCAAAGAACTGACTTGGCAAACCACATCAGTGGCTCCCCAGCTTTGCGGTTTGACACGAACATCCAGTGTTCTTCCTGAATGACTACGCTCCCACTCCACCAAGATTTTAGTTTTCTCTGGTTCCACAGATTACCAGGGCCTCACTGGAAGTAAAGCTACCACTAGACTGCCCTGCACAAAGCAGCTTCAGCTTGCGCCAAGACAACTAACTGGCTCTATTCAAACTGCAAAATGTGGCAACTCGGAATACAGCCCAGGCTGCAAAATCAATCCGGCAGCGTGGCAGCTCCCATGCCGGACTCCCTCCTACCGCAGCCACCCTCCCAGCTGCTGCTGAGCCACCTGCTTTAGCACAGCTTTGGCTTGTGCTCCGGACCCGCCGTTACGCCTGTACAGCAGCCGCACCTCTCGGGAGCTTGGGAGAAGGGAATCGGTAGCAGCCTGACTCCCGCTGCATGTGCCGACGGGAGCAAGAACTGCGAGCCTTAAAGACCTCGCTCCGTGGAAGCGAGTAAGCCCAAATAAGCCCCCGCTCCCCAGGAATGGCCGCTGCTCATGCAAAAAAGTTGGAAATCTTTTCGCATGCACGTAAGACCTTAGAATTAAACACAATCCATACAGATAAGAAATAGGATTTTCAAATTTCTGAAATACAATCACTTTCAGACCTAGTCCTGGAATCACGCTCTTGGGTCAAGCATCTATTCAGAGAGGTGAGCCCACAGCAAGAGTCCAGTATCTTTAGAGCAGCATCTCACAAAAGCACACAAAAATAGTTTTAATTATTCCTGTCAGTAAGGTCAAAAAGAACTTTGTAGCTGATGAAGAATCAGTCTATATATCTACTCAGGGTTGCAAGTGTTAATACTTATGATCACACTAGGCTTGAAATGTGTTGAGCAGAAAATAGGTAAATTTCAAAAGGTCTTATGAATTGTAGGCAAAACCGTAACTGTTAACTTGAACACCTAAGTTGTAGTGAATATAAGCAACTCAATGCATAAGCCAAACTTAGAAAAAATATCCTTTGTGTAATTACACAGTTGTGTCAAACAGAACCTTTGCACTTCGTACTGCAGACACATGCCATTTTTCTCCCAAATTTCCACTTTGAAAGATAATTCTCATACTCAGTGTTACAGCCTCTACAGAGGATAGCTCCGTATGTGCTGCCTGGGCTTTGTTGCTAACATGGCCAGAGCTTCCTGGAGCCAATGCCAGGAAAGCTGTACCTCACGGCGCCATTTAGGCCAGCCACTGACGTGTCATGCGTGAAAACGTCCTGTACTCCATGATTTAGACACTGCTTTGACTGAAGCCTTCTTAGCTGTGAAGAAATTAATCCCTGCTTCAAATGCTGTATGCAGACTCACAGCTCAGATAATTTTGATGCCTTTGATATCTGAAAATGTACCTGAGTTCACAAATTGGAAGGGTCAAATCTTTATAGGTCCAGAAAACTCTTAAGGATAGGCCAGTGTGTTTGAATCTGCCACTGAAAATGGGAGAGCAGACGTAGCCAATGATGATCACGAGTGTTGCTTGGCCAAGGATTTCTGAAGAAAAGGTGGGGGTACGTAAACGGACCACTCTACGTGGCTTCTGAACTCAAGTGATGTGCAGTTGCTGTCTGCTGCTCTTAAATTCACAAGAACAACTACGTGCGGGCATGATTCATAAATAAATCCCAAGGCTGATATTTGCCTTTCAGTTTAAAGTTCAGTCACGGCATGGTTCTCATTGGCTTTCAGGAGACAGAATCAATATATTCCACAACAACCAGCTTCCCAGGAAACAAAATAGGAAACAAAACGTTTTGAATCAAGACTAACTCGTATGATTTGTAGCTGTGCAGAAAGTCTAAGGATTGGTTTATAATGCAGCATCTGAAATATTTAATGGCAGGGATAGGCTACGAGAAAGGTAGCCTATTAAATGTCAGCTAAGTGATGAGAGATAGATTAAGTACAAGTAGGTGTATATCTAACGTACCAGAATGCCTAATGGCTTGGTTAAGTATTGCTGTCACAGTGGAGGAGGACAGAAAAGAAAAAGAACAGCATTCTTAACAGGGAAAGTGAAAGAAAGGAATGTAACTCCTGCTACAGACTGAGGTGAGCTAGAGTCAGAATCAAACCATGCAACCAGAAATGGAGGCTTGTTGGAGGTATTCGAGAAAATAATGGCCACGGAAAATTAAAATGCAGACAGAAAAGACTATTAATCAGCTAATTCTAGAGAACAGGAAATCAACCAAGTAGTTGCAGCTAGAGAATTGTAAGTTATAAATCATCTTTCTAAATAAAAAGTAGTGCTGAAAAGTGAAAAAGGCGTTTGATTGCAGAGCAAGTGAAAAATGGGAATGCTATGTGAGCTTTATTAGGCAAAGCAAACTAGCGGTTTCCTAAGAATATTATGCTAACAGCGAATGAAATTACTGAAGTGTTGCAAAATCACCAGAAAATATACCAAGCTCCAAAAGCAATAGACAACTTTTTACATAAGGTACAGAAAGAAACAGGGGGCTACCTTTTACTTTTATGCCAACAAACGTTGCCCTGGGTAGAAGTTTTGCAGAGCTGACTTACTACATTTTCAAATTCCTGCCTACTGTATTTTGATTTTTTTTTTTAAAAGACTGTATTTAATAAATTTAATCGATTCACAAGTTATTTCTTTAGAAAGTCTTTATAAGAATTACCTTTGCCCTCCATTTATAAGAGAACAAAGTGCACGTGCTGGAGTCACATTATTAACCATAGCCTTCAGTGCTTTGTCTACCTCTTCCCTTATAAATGTGTTGGATTCACCAGCTTTGTGCAAAAGGACTTTTACTGTATTATCTAGTTCTTGATCCATGCTCTTTTTCAGGTAGGTGAACAAATCCCCTAAACAGACCACAGCAGCTCGAGAAACACCTGAGCGTAAATTCTTGACCTGCACACAGGAAAAACCCAAACAAACAATGAATAATGTTTATAAAATATACTTTAAAATAAGTAAAGCTTAACGTTTCCCTTTGTAGTTTTTAAGTAACATTAAAAGCAACCGAGAAATACATTTCTAACTTGATTCACAACGTGTGAGAATTAAAATACATACACATGAAAAATGTCATCAAGTTACAATCTAGATTTTTTCAGTCTCTTAGCAAATCAGTTCAAGTGTTGTATCTGAAGTATGAGCTGCTTTGCTGAATGACAAACTCATCCTTTTGAGACTGTCCAACAGAGGAAAACTAACCCCAGAGGAACATACCATTTCACTTCAGTGTATCTGAGAGCTATAAAATACATGTACACACTTATAGTCAGTGAAATATTCTGATAGTAAGATTTAACCTCTTGAGCCACAGCCAGACTTGTTTCATGTAGCTTTGCAGTCAGAACAGTCGCATGGTAGGCAGACAAACATCTAACAAAGTTCAGACCTTCAATTTTCTTCTCCCTGTGTAAAAAAAGAAAAAAAAATTAAATTCAAAACATTGGTGAATTTTCATAAAAATATTAAAACACAGAGTTCCAAAAAAACAAACGGCAAACAAATTAGATTGTAAAATAAAGCAGTGACATATAATGTAGGAAATTCTTTCAAAGTGAGTCTTTCTTTTAACGTGGTCGCAAGACTATTTTAGCAAACCAGTCTCTCCATTCTTTCCTACAGTTCTGTCCACAGCCTGCACTAGTGACAACTAAAGCATTACGTTCCTTCCCCGAGTTGAAAAGGCAGCAGCTCCGTAACCCCATTTCGCCAGCGAGAGCACCCTGAAGCCTCATATGCCACACAAAGTGACAGGAAGGTATTGGCGGGGGCCCTCTCCAGAACAGTGCTTAAACTTGGACATCTCTACAAGTCTCTGAAAGCTTGGCTATTAAGCCTCAATTTACAAGAGTTACAGTTTAATCTAGATTTGGACTGACAAATAACTTTTTTCTCATACATCACTTGCAATCCTTCTCGCTATTTTTGATGTTATGTCCATTTTGCTGGTTTTTCCAAGTAAGTGATCAGAATAAACGCCTTCTACATTAGATTCAGGCTGTAGACAGATGTTTACACCTACCAGTCATCATCAGCTAAAAGTGTCAAGGCTTCTGTCAATGCCGATTCTGGTTTTGAAAAGGGCTGCAGTTCTGATGGGTCCATTATTTCTGGGCTATGAGTGACTGATGGGGTCTGGTCTTTATAGCGTCCTCGCGCCCCAAGAGAAATCTCATCTACAAAGTCACGAAGCGTAACAAATGATTAGCATAATCTGAAGAAAACAAGTCATTCGAAGGAAGGAAATATTAAGAGATTGAGGTATATACAGACTGCTGCTACTATGGGACGAGGTTTTCAAGAAGACCGCTTTCCCAGTTACATCCTCGATCATTCAGCATTTCATTCACGTGAATGACTTTTTTATTTGCACACAACTACCACTTTAAAAAGTCACAAACACAAATGTAGTGGGTTTTTTTAATGTAAAAATGGATGCAGAATGTGCTAAAGAACAGTGTGGTAAGACACAATATAGTAAACGTAGAGCCACCTGAAGACCTTTGACCATCATCAGTATGAGCTTCTGTTCTGAAAAGATTTCTACTGCATATTTTAAAGGCATCTCAGTGACAAAATGTACCCAGAAATGTTTTTCTTGGAGACAAAAGGGAGTCAATTTGCCATTAATACGTTACATCATTTAAGTTGCTGAGCAAATAAAAACCCCTCTCATGTTTCAAACATCTTCCTAACAAATCACAGGCAAAGAAACGTTTCAAGGGAGCAACGAGGAATTCTAATCCCCTTCACCACCACCACCAAAGCACTCATCTTCCAGAGCACCTCAGGACTGTCCATTGTACATATTAACCATATTAAACCCAATTGTATTTTGGAACTATCCCACCCCACACATCCAAATATTTTAACAGTCTTTAGTTTACGGTAACAGCTTACCAGAATCTAGCAAGGCTGAACATTTTGATTTCTTCAAACTGGATGTTCTTTTCAATGAAGGATTCAAGGCAACGTTTTCTAATGACAAAGAAACATTTCCTGACGATGTTAATATATCCCCACAGAGATTTAACTCTAGAAAATAGAAGGAAATGTCCAAACGACAACAACAACAAATCAGAAAAAAGGACAAGACTAGTATTTTCAGTCCTAATTTGTCTTTCGAAATTTTTCTTAACTACAGTCTTTCAAATATTTCCCATAAGCACTTTACTCTCCACCATTTGCATTATAAGACTGACAACAAATGACTAAAGAGTAAACTGCAGTGTAAAATTAATTCTAGTAATACCTTATGTCACACTAAACAGTCAAGATTTTTGGTAATTACCACAGAATTTGAATTTCCATTTCAGCAGCATTTAACAGCATGTTATTCATTTAAGACAAACACTAATCCTCACTTTCTGTTGTCATTTTCTCTAGTTCATTCAGTTTAAGTCTTTCCCAAGGGTTTTCTTCCTTCTCTTCAAGGTCTTTGACTTCCTGATGTTCTTCACGACTGCGTTCTTTTTCATCTTTTTTCTTCCGCTTCATCTTATCCTGGGCAGATTTTGACATGACAACTTTTATCTGCAAAAAATTAATGCACCTGTTGTGATATGCAGTACAATATAATGCACAAGTTACCCAATAACTTACAGAATCATAGAATCACAGAATCGTTTAGGTTGGAAAAGACCTTTAAGATCATCCAGTCCAACCATTAACCTACACTACCAAGTCCACTACTAAACCAATCAAGGGTAGAGTAGCAATTTCGTGTTTCCTGGCTTGGTGGCTGGATTATTTTTAATGAAAGTAAAAAGTAGGAATCATTGACGCAGTTCTTGATATCGTCTAAGGTTAAGCATGGAAAATTATTATTTTCACCATTATCCTACAGAGCAAAAGGAAATTATTCACATAAATATGAAATGCAATCCTGAAAGGAGCTGAATGTGTGCTTTCTGCATGGTAATTAGTCCTACCGGCAAAAAGCCGCAACATTCCAGGTTTAAACATTTAAGGGAAATAATCACTTACTCTTAAATACCTTAAGAGTTAGAGAACTAAGGTCAACAAGAAGAGGTCTTCTATTCCTTGGCAGCGTTGTGTAGTTTCCTAGAATTTTAACTAACACATACACAGACTGGGCTCACTCACTCACATTTAAGCACACAGGGGTTTTTTTAAACAGCGGTCTTTAACAGTGTGATCTGAGCCTAGTCTCTTATATGTTTAAGACACAGTTCCTCATGAAAACTTAGTAACATTTAATACATTCCTCCATTTACTCCTTTGAATTTGATCCCTCCAAGTATTCATAACTTCAGTGGAAATCAGAAAATTAAAGACACTGTTTATCATTAACTTAAAGTTTTAGTCATCTTAAAATCTTATTTAAGATGCTTTCAGAAAGACCTGTGATTTTCATTTCAAATTTTTAAAAATTTTTATCACTACTTCATTCGAATAAATCTTGCTCCATGTTACAACAGATGTATATAGTATTTAACAAAGCAGCACCACTCCTCATGAAACAGTATTATGGGACACATATTCAGGCAGTATTTTTTAAAAACCTTATGAATGGAGCTAGATTAATACAAGACATGATCAAATCCAGCCATTTCCTCCTTCCACATTTCCATGAGCTGTGGGAATCAGAGGAGAGGACATTTTCCAGCTCCACTCCCTCCTGCAGCCCTTCTCCCAGAGACTTCCGAGTTAGGTGGGAAGCTTCTGACACAGCAATTTGCCATTATAAAATATCCAGGTGGAACCAAAAAGAAAAAGCAGGGAGAAGCAGTTTGATGGCTATAAGCTATTTTAATCAAACTCTCGTTTACCATAACATAGAGACTGCAAAACTGTACCAAGCTGTATTCATACATATAAAACAGGAAGCGAAACAATAAAAAAGTTCTGAAATTTTTACCTCTCTTTCATTTTCAACGTGGAAGTTAGAAGCACTGTTCTGCTGGATGCTTCTCCCACAGATCCCTGGTGATGGCTCAGTCTCCTCTTTGACAGCCTGGTCATCTCCATTCACTACACACATTATGGGCTGGCTGTACGTTCGTGCAGAAGGAGGACTTCCAAAAACACCTGAAAGGCATATCATTGTTGTGTCCTCACCAAAATAACCATTTCATTCAGCAGAACCTAGCAAAAACTAAAGAAAAGCAAAAGTAATTCAAGAAGATAAAAACATTGCTACTGTACTATTAGCGCCAACTTCCACCCAAAGGTACTCTTACCTTATTCTACCGAGTAGGGTGGATGCACGTACACGTACGTGCACGTACACCAAGACCTAACCTTCATCATTTGCTGCCATTCTTTGGTGTTGGAATGGAATAGCATACCCAGTAACTGCAAAACTTTCAAGCGCAATTCCTTTTATTCTCATTTACACTGGAGATTGTTCACAGTCTAAAACGTTGTACAGAATCTACTTTTTCTTTTCCCACTCTATAAATGTACATTTTCCCTCATTTTAATAACGATGAGATATAGGAGATAATTTTGGTTTTGCAGTACCTTTACCAACAATTGCAACTGCATCTTCAGATGGGACACTTGGTGAAATGAAATCTAGACTGTTCATCTGTGGAAAACTGGAGGTTGACTCCACAAGACCTTAAAGAAAAAAAAAAAGTCACACAATGTAAATCATATACTTTACGCTTTGGTGCATGTTTTATTTGTCTAAAATATCACACACAGACATCTGCATTTATCACTTTTATGAATCAGTCTATTTTCAAGTTACTGAAGTTAACAGGATTTACTAAATATCGATGTCCTCAAAATCACGGAAAGCATATAGCAAACAAAATTTCTGCCAAAAGATCATAAAGAAAACCAATGTTTTTAAGACGATTTTAAAATCAACTGATTCCACTGAAAAAACACAGAAGTTTCTAACTCACTCAGTGGAAGTACAGCACTTTCTTACATAATTCAGCACAACTAAATCAAAACAGAATTTGCTGAAGTATTTTTTCCCCAAGCAGCACTTAATGGTGCTTCCCATATAAATTGACAGTCCCTCAAATTCTTCACCAAAGTGGATGACATATATTATGTACTTCTATATGGCTACCCTAGTTGCAAATAAAAATGATAGTTTGTGACGAAAGAAGGGCACCGTTTGCTTTTGCTATTTAACCTGAATAATCTGAATTTTCTAAGCAGAGAAGATGATTTAGGACAGCCTGATTACCTACTAGAACGTGCAAGATCAAGTGAAAAGGTTTCTTCTGAAAGCGTTACTTTGTCCTCCCACAAACCAAATCATCGGCTTCTGAATGCTCCAAGTTTTAACAGTGGAGAACTGTCAAAATTGGTCTTTTGGGATTTTCTTGAACATAATCTTGAGGCTTCATGAGCAATTCTCTCTTAGACCATAACTGAATGTGCATCAAATACTGGATCCTCTTTGGAACCTACCCCCAGATCTGGGCCTTCTGTCCTAACCTCAGCTTCTAGCCCGAAAAACTTAGAAACTTCCATTTCACGGGCATTACAGGATAAACAGGTATTAACAAAAAAAAAAAAGGATTTACAAATCTGATTATAAACTTTATTTCCATTGCTCAGCTTTAAATGTTTCACAAAAAATAGCACTCCACCTTTTCTATAAAACGTTGACAATAAACAAAACTGTCCATGTTTAATCTTGAAACAAGAGATGGAGAAAACAAAAAATCTTACTAGGACAAAGTTCTTCATTATTCAATGTCTATTAACATGTGGAATATTGCTATTTAATTTTTGTATTTGTCACTAAAACATGGTTACTTGACATCTACTTCAGCCACTATGAGGGAGATCCGAACAAGAGACAGTGAAACCATATGCTCCTTAAACTGACTTCCACATTTTACTTTTGATGTTTCAAAAAGAAAAGTTGCTGCTCTATTCTAACAAGCTTGGAATTGGAAAATAACACCTATATCATACACACAATGATTCTGATGTAGGGAACAGTAGCTCCTAGGATGCATTAAAATGACACAGTTAAAACTGAAATGTAAAGTATAATGGTTTAATTTTACCAGTGAACAACAGAGTAATTTAAAACCAAACTTTTAAAGCTGTTCATTTATTCAGACTGAGACATGTAACAATTGGGTCCTTTTTTCACGCTCTGTACTATCGCTTGACTTTTAATGTTAACTTAATTGGCAGCCTAATTTCAGTTAATGTCAGAAAAAATCCCAACTTGTTAGCATAAGTATAAAGACTAGACAAGAAGAAATCACGCTGAACATCTTGAAATGTATGTTCTCTAAAACCTGTTTTACAAAAGGCTATACATAGCCTCAGGTTTTGCTATAAATGAGAGCTCAGTTGAACAGCAATGCAGCAAACTCACAAACCTTTTCAATGTTTAAAATTTCTTTGGTGTTCCATATTTTGACTTTTAAAAATAATACGTGACACTTCTCCTTGCTTCTTGTCCTCATAATCTCCACATCCGTTGCCACAGTTCAAATGCTGGCCAACTATGCTAACACTAGAAGTCCTCTTATCATCAAATGCTAGCCATGCAAAAGGAAAAAAAATCAAAAAAAAAATAGAACTAGTTTTTCCTGTGTGCTACAGGATTCTCAAATAGTTATTTTCAGAGACCCACAGACTGGTTTTACGCATACAATATGAGCGTTCTTGCCTACAGAAATCCGAGCATTTCAACAAAGATGCTCAGGCTCTGTTCATTTTTCACATGCAAAGGCTTTCATCTACAGATAAAGCCAGGTTGAAAGTTTAACTCAAAGGTTGAAAAATTATTTTTTAGTTCAAAGTCTTTCCAATATGAACAACTGAATACTAAGTGATTCATCATTAAACGCCAAATTGAGTCGTAAGTCAACTAAGTGAAAATAGTACAATACTGGTTAAAACACGAGAAATGTTTGTGGTGAATAAGGATGGAAGAAAGGAGTCCTTTACATTCTTGTACTGATAACAGCCTTGTTACTCATGCGTAAGGCATGCATTACTCCTCTCTACAACTACCTGACAGGAGGCTGTAGTGAGGTGGGGGTTGGTCTCTTCTCCCAAGTAGTTAGCGATAGGACGAGAGGAAATGGGCTCAAGCTGCGCCAGGGGAGGTTTAGATTGGATATTAGGAAAAATTTCTTCATGGAAAGGGTGGTCAAGCACTGGAACAGGCTGCCCAGGGAAGTGGTTGAGTCCCCATCCCTGGAGGTATTTAAAAGATGTGTAGGTGGATATGGTAGGACGCGTAGGGACATGGTTTAGTGGTGGATTTGGCAGTGCTACGTTAACGGTTGGACTCAATGAGCTCAAAGGTCTTTTCCAACCTAAACGATTCTATAGTTCTATGATTCTATAAATCTGTCCATTTACGTACCCTAGAAGGCATAAAACACATTTTATGTTACAATTAGAGACAACAGAAACTGAGCATTTTTATGCCTGCAAAACATTTTCAATACATTTTAGTTTTGGTTAAAAAAAAATAAACAACAAAAGACAACGCTAATTACTTCAGGAATTCTTTAAAGGATCATTTCTGCTTTTCCAAATACCCCTAAAATTAAAATACCTAAAAAGACAGAAGTCTTTTCATATACATACTTTTACTACATATTCAACAAAGTCCATGGAACCAACCCCACATTCAACTGAAGGGACTGATAGGCACAACCAAAGTGGCAGGGTGACATAACTCCGGTAATGCCAGCAACTAGAGCGACCTCAGTGTGCTACGGGGGGTACCAGGCAGCGGTTCTGCCTCCCACCGCCGCAGACGTGACGGCACTCATGCACCTCCCACCACCCGCCTGGGCCCATCTGTCTGGAAGTTCTGCACTGGTGGCCATCGCTGTCAACCCAACCGCGTCCACGTGGGATCACGAGCCGTATGGAAATCCTTAAAAAGGTTCCTTGTGTCCTCTTCTTCAGCTGAGAGCTTGGATCATAGCAGGCTGCTTTGTTTTGCTAGGGGACGGAAACCAAAGGGAATGTTTTGCTGTGGGATTCTTCAGATGGTGAAGCTCTTCCAGCAAGGAAGGCTACGGACGGTGCCCTGATCTGGGCTGGCGTGAGATGCTCTGGAAAACTACTATATGGCCAGATCCCCTGAAGGTCCAGGAACTCCTTAACTGTGAATTTCTGCACTGTCCCAATGAAGCCTAGTTGTCACAGGGTTCCATATACGAACATCAAGACCTCACGTGTCAGGACTGATCCATTCATTGCTGCATTTGGTACAACAGCACCCTCCGGCCTCTGAAACTATCAGAACCCCGAGGAAAGATGAGCTACAGGCTTGACAGCAGGCAGACAGGTTTTCAAGGTGCCAACTACCCTTGATTGTAGTGTCTACCCTTGATTGGCTTAGAGTAGACTTGGTAGTGTAGGTTAATGGTTGGACTGGATGATCTTAAAGGTCTTTTCCAACCTAAACGATTCTATGATTCTATGATTCTATGAACTATTAGAAATTGCACAAACTTATGCTACAGGAAGAATTTGGGAAGTAAGAAACGTCTGAAAGCTGCCGTTCTAGTACAACAAAGCTAAGAAAAGCTGATAAAATTCATCTTGGAGAAACAGCTGAAGCAATCTGAGCTCAATTAGCAAGCTAACGATAGGTAAGGGGCAAATAAATTTCCAGAACAGAAAAGAGCAAAAGTGTTAAACTCTTTAAAGAAAAGGAAAAAAGCTGAAGAAGGAGCCAGAGAACAACTGACCCATACGCTGGGCAATTCCATTCGCGGGACTGCATCAGGGCAAATAACGTATTTGGAAGCACCCACCAGAAAACAGCATGATCAGAGAAATCTGTTCTCCTTTTATGACACGGCGACAGACCTTGTGGGTAGGAAAGAAGTGAGAGATGCCACGTAGCTTCCCAGGCATACGTACACACAGTAGGTACCAAAAGCTTCATTCTCCAAATGGAGGGACGCATCAAGCAGGGTTCTGCTGCAGTCTGTTCAGGACCCGGCACCACCCAATATTTTGCCCAAACAGCGGGACAGTGAGGCAGCATGCTGAATGCAAACAATGACAGCAAATGGGAAGCATACACACATGCTTGAGGACAGGATCTGAATTCAAGGAGCTCAGGATAAAGTAGAAGAATGATCCAAGAAGAACAAGACTCAGGTAGGACAGGACTGATTTTGCACGTTTTGCAACAATGCAACCATAACTATCCTTTCAACTCTAAGGGCACGGCAGGTATTGTACGGGTACCGCAAGAAAGAGGCAGATCTGTTGAAAACAGCCTAGATGACAGCAGGAGTCAGGAGGAGTCAAACTCCATAAAGTTTGACCTATGAAGGAAAGCTGGAAAAAATAGGAATTAGTCTAAAGGACAGAAAACGAAAAAGGGAAAGAAAAATACAAAAAAAAGCCAACTGCTTGGAAGGACAAAATACTCCATCCTTCAGAATGAAATAAAAATGTAATGAGATAAGTTACAGCAAGGGGGATTTACAGTGTTAGAAAAAAACCCTTTCATCTGATGAGACCAGTTAAACACCAAACTGATTTTTACAAGTTCTCCAAGTTCCAGTGTAAAAATTCAAAGCTTTCTGAGATTTGATTTGTGTGATGGGCCAAGTCCAGTCAGCAGCGGGAGCAAAGGACTTCTCTTTACCAGTTAGCTGCACATGTATTACACCGACCTTATCAGAAGCAGGCTGTCAGCTCTTCGCAGGAGGTCCAGTGCTGTGCATTCCAGTTGATTAACTGGCTCAGTAAGCAAAATAAATGTGCTGCTCGTTATTTTACACTGAAGGTCAGCTTGTCACAGAAGGTCTTTTCATATAACGAATGCAAAATCATTAACCACAACATGTATTACTATGTACGTGCAGTATTTGCTTTCTGACTTACGCCGTTCCTTGACAAACCTATTTGCTATTTTTATCCTGAAGGAAAGTGGCCTTAGCTAAAATGAGGAGCAATAGCTTCAATTTCTGAAAAAAGATCATGTGTCTCAGTAGCAACTACTGGTTTTTTTTAATGTGATGGCTTTGCAAATTCAGGCTTGTAAGATGCCCTCCAATCTCAACTGAACTAAGTTTTTTAAACTTTTTGGAAAAAATACATAGCTGCTGAGGCTGCAAAAGGATGTAACAGAGCAGTCTTTGGGAAGAGAGGTTAGAAAACACTGTTGTGGACATGGCTCCCTCAGCTCCTCTCCTCCATCCAGTTGAATCAAAATTGATTAAACATAAAAAATCATAAACAATCGGTTTCTGCCCATCACAGAAATCTGAAGTTACCTGTACTTCCCTGTAAGCGTAAAATAGAACTGCATCACGTAACTTCAATCTCCTACCAGGAAATTAACTGCTGGCAACATTGTGACCCTTCCTACTCTTATCCAGCTGGTGTCCAATGGATTTTCACACAATACTGCGCTGAATTTTGAAGTGCACATACTCACAGGTGGCATGTTCATTAACACATTTTATCCTGACATAGAAAGGCGGAAACCCTTGAGTTCCTTCTCACCTGCAGTACTACAGTATAATCTCAATTCGACCAAACAGCATCTAGCAATTACGGTTTCTTAAGTGCTGAAGGGACATGAGCTCATTGAACAAGTAAGAACAGACACATCAAGTGACCGTTCTGGTGCATCAATGAAGCAAGGTATATATACACTGGTAAGCACAGCAAAATACCTGTGCTGGGGTTATGTTCTGCCATGTTTGGGTCTCTGCTTCTTGCTGAAGATGCTCTTGCAGGCTGTGATTTGCTGCCAAGTAGTGGAAAGGTGTCTGGCCTATTAAAATACAAAAAAATTTTATAAATACAATTCTACACACTAGTCAGAGCCCAATTAAATAACCCTTTGTAGTAAAGACATAAATAAATTGCAGTTTCTTCTCCCCAGGGTACTTGGTGGACAAATATTTCCAGTATACTTCCACAAATGTTCACACTATGAGTAGAAAAAGAAAATTAATTCAATAGAAATTACTTGATGAGTAGGTCCATTATGAAGAACAACATAAAGACAACCCTTAAGGGTGCACTTCACACTAGGACTAAATTTAGCATACATTTGAAAAGCCAGGGAATCGTTTGGTCTAGGGGACTGACGATGCTGCTTGCGATCTGGCAAAGGATGGCAAACGACGGTGACCAAACACGCTAACCTTTCACTTCCAGAAATGAGCTGGTTTCAGCTTAATGTCTAGCACACAGCCATTCACCAGGAAAATGCTGTTATCTACGAGACAATCTTGATACTTCTTTTTTTAAAATGATGCATTGGAACGTTAAAGACGATTCAACCCAGAGCCCTGCACTGCTAAATACGATGCGTACCTGTGTACCCTGTACCTGTACAGGGGAAGAGCAGCTGTTCTTTTTGAAATACACACAACTAGAAGACTTGCTTTTAAGATCTTGGGGAAATCCCATGCTTCAGAAACTTCACTAATACCGCTACCAAGCTCCCATTGCTCACGGTAGTTTGTTGGTGGATACGCTGATCCTTCTAAAAGCCAATAGCCAGAAGCAGCCCACTTTCTTGTTGCCCAACTAGACAGATTTTTTTGAACAGAAAATGCCAATTTCCAGTGCTTGCAAACCAGCACCTGAACTAAACTCTCTGAAATTTTTATGAAAGTTCCAAGGCTTTTAAGGTCTTCTGGGATATCTTTTGTCACTTCTACAAATTCAGTCTTCCTGCCAAACGTCCCCTCTCTTCCTTGCTAGTTCAGAATTCCTGTATCTTTGAATCCTGTAAAAAATTAAGCTTGTGTGTCACTGAATAATGGAAATGGCATGTTGTGTAGAACATGTCCCAGTCAAAACCTTGCCCGGAAGAACATCATACACAGAATTTTATAGTCTTGCCTTTTTAGGTATTCTAGCATTTTTCATTTTAAAGATTATTTTTAAAAAT